TGTTGTATATATTTGTGCATAGCTAGAGGATATGGACAAGCAAACAAACGTTGTTAAAGTTTTTTCTCTCTCATTGCTGAGAGCTGATAAGCGAGTCGCAAGTGCTCGTCCTATATTGATCATATGTCTCAATGAATAGTATTCAACTTATGAATCATGTTAACGAAGGTCATAGACATATACGATAGTTAAAGCAATCATGTGTATAAGATAGCAAAGAAGAAGAAACAAAATTCTCTACATAACATCTTAGATCACAATCCGATATGCAATTGATTAAAAATATCTGTATCTGATATATATATCTTTTGTTTGGTCATTTTTTGACGTTATTTATACATAAAATTGAAATCATCTTTGTTTTGCCAATAAGAAAAAGTAGTTCAGTAGCCTATAAGATAGCGATGGTTTATTATATGTTCGTGTGTCATTTATACGATTGAAGATTTGAACAATCTTAATGAATCTATTATCGATAAAATCATGAATAATTAAAAACGAAATGATTTTCTTGTCGTTATTTTACCCATATCTATTGAACTCATTAAAACAGATTTATTGATTACTTTTAAGAGCATATTTCACTAATAATTATTCATACAACACAATGAAATCATGATAAGAATAATCATTAGAGTAATTCACCTAACACAACAATATACAAAGAATTGAAAGAATATGACATCAACAAGGTGATTGGCGGTATTACTAATAATAAGGTGAATTGAATTCAGAGCAATATAAAAAAAAACAAATCGAAATGATAAGGTCATCAAGTAGGATCAATATTGATCCTATTTTCTTCGAACTAGAGACACTCGAAAATGTCAATTGTAATTTTTGATCTATTATCTTTATACTATAAAACTGCAAATTCAATAATAGTAGTCATATATACAAATATGAATTAGTTAATATATAATCATCATTGTACTCAAATCGAAACATTTTTTCTGATCTTAAATTCATTAAATCTTTATTCACATTTATACTACAAAATTGGTATATAATTCATAATCTCACATGAATTATTGCTTGTATGTCGTCTACGTATAATGATTAAACAGTATTATCTACTAGAAAATTATGATTATAGATCTAGACATAAATCATTATTAGTAGCATAATAGTTTCATCACTGTGATGATGTCACTTTCAATACTGGCAAAAATAATATTAATTACATACAAATTGAAATCAATCTATATAGATTATTTGCTCTTGTTAAATTAATATAAGTCAATATTCCATTTCAGACGATGGCTCAATCTAAGAATCATATGATTTTGTTTTGCATGAATGATTACTATTTATTTTATTAATGGTGATATATTATAATCAACTAGTATATTTAAAAGCTTCTTATTGATAAAATAAAAAAAATTAAAAAATAAACTGTAATCGTTAACTAACACCATCTAAACATTTTTTAAATACAACCAATCCAAGAATATACATGACTCTTGTTCTCTTTCTTTTTCCTTATCACTTCAAATACATGACTGACATTATATAGTTTTCTATTTTTGCAGTGTCATGCTTACTCTTCTTTTCTTATTTAGTTATTTCGAACTTGTCATCCCTCATTTTTTGCTTTTTATCATACTAAAAAAAAGATGGCATTTAAGATAAATAATATTATTCTCGTCTCGATTTTCTGTTTAGCTACTGCATTTTTCTTAAATTCCAAAGGACAACAACATATGGCTACCCTACTTCAGTTTGGTAAATCACTTTTTTCTGCTCGTCATACAAATATTAATGATCCAGCTAGTACACCATCATTTTATGAACGTCAGTTCAATGATATCAAAGGTCAACCATTAGATATGGATAAATTACGTGGTAAAGTTATTTTACTTGTCAATACAGCTAGTGAATGTGGATATACACCACAATTACATACATTACAAGAATTACATGATAAATATAAAGATCGAGGTTTTACCGTATTGGTATGAATTATTATATGAATAAAATAAAATATTATTTTTCTTTTTTTAGGGTGTACCATGTAATAATTTTGGTAAACAAGAACCAGGTGATGAACCACAAGTTTGTTCATTATATGAAAGTAAATTTAAAACAAGTTTTCCTTTAACAACTAAACAAGATAAGGATAAACCAACTGAAGTCTTTCAATGGATGATTGATGCTGGTGGTAAAGATGTTTTACCAGCATGGAATTTTCATAAATATCTTATTGATCGACAAGGTCATCTTATTGGTGCTTGGAATAGTCGTGTTAAACCATTAGATGACGAAATTACAAAAGCAATTGAATCAGTTCTCTAACTTGGCTAGTTTAAAAAGTTTTCTGTGTTATTTTCTTTTTATTATATGATTTTAAAAAAAAAGTGTAAGAACAAATAAAAGCACAAACTATTTGATAGATTTATTTAGTTGATGATTTTGATGCACGACGTTTTGACAAGTCTTTTTTTGTTTTTGGTTTATGTGTTGTTGTTATTCTTGTTGATCCTGCTACTAATTTATCAAGTTCACATTTAAATCTAATAACTTCAAATATAGTTATTTTTTGATTGATTGCAAAATTGTTTAGATAATCATCAGTTTTTAAAATTCTATTAAGTTCCAGTAAAGATTGACCATCATATTTAGCTAATGGTTCACACCATTGTTCAAATCCATTTGTACGGCACCATTTTTGAATATCTTCCGATGTCCAGCTAGTTATTATTTCTTTTTTTGGATTTTCTACACTATCTTGATAATTATCACGTTCTGTTGTTGATGCTAATGATAATTCAGGAATATCATTTGAGATTTTCTTCTGTGATTGTAATTTATTATTATTAGGTTTTAACTCTTTAATTAAACGCTTTAAATCATCATCTTTATTAATTCTATAATAAAAATCGTCACCAAGATAAAACCAAACCCAATCACAACTGTCCTTTTTGAAACTTTCTTGAACAAAAATTGGATAAATTTTTCTTTTTTTACTTCGAGCAAAAGTCCATTCACATCGGCACACATCTGATTTACAATATGCATCACTAAGAAGAACAAAAACAATTTCAGATTGATTAATAGCTTCGGTTATTGTATCAATCATATTATCCTTCATATTTTCATTATCGATCCAAATCTTTGTAAAAAGATTATTTTCTTTTAATGTTTGATGAAATAAATTACATCGATCTTTATCTTTATGACAATAGGAAATAAATGCTTGTCGACCTTCAATATTTTTTGAAGCTTAATAAAGAAAATTTTTTATAAGAAAATAAAGATTCTATACGTCTTACTTGGAGACTCTTTTTGTTCGATTGGTGTAAGATTTTGACGAATATTTTCAATATATTTATATAACTTTGAATTAGGACCATATAAATTATCTGCATCGATTTTTAAAAATCGTTCTAAATCACCATCTTTCAATAAATCATTTTGAATCTTTGGATTTGTTGACATTCTACGAAGAATTTTCAATGCGTATGAATGACGACTTTTAGCATAGTTAATAATTTTCGGAAGATATGGTAAAGTTTGTTCTTTAACACTATCTTGAACAAGAAATCGAAGTAAATAACAAAAAAGTCGTTCATATGATATTCCTTTGTATCGTTGATCTTCTTGAGCTACTGCTCGATCAATAAAATGAAATAGAAGTTTAACAATATCTTGTGCCATATCAACTTTATGTTTATGTAATTCATCAAAATCTTTTTTATTCATTAATGCTGATAATGTTGATATCGCCATTAAACGTAAACGATCATATTTTGCATTAATATATGGTATAATTACTTGAGATGTACTCTTGTTCTTATTAAATTCTTCATCCGAACCTAGTAAACGAAGAACTTGATTTGTTTCATTTGTTCTTCTATCACTATCGTCATCATCATCATCATCATTTAAATCACTTGAAGTATCAAACCATTTATTAAGAAATATAAGTGCAATATCGATCAATGAAGTTGTTGTATATGAATTCAAATGTATAGCTTGATCTCGAAGAATATCTGATCCTAATAATCGATGTATAATTAATGAAAAAAGCTCAATATTAAATGGATTTGCTAATTGTGCATCATCATCATTTACATTTGCTAATGCTTTATTAATAATATGAATCCAATTATTAATTGGAACACAATTTGTAAGTAAAGCAAGTATACCACGAAGACAATAAAGTATTGATTTATCTTTTTCAAAATCTTTCATATTTAACATCGTTCGAATATATTTTGCAAGTAAATAAATATATTTATTATCTTCAGGTTTTTTTAAATAATCTTTATTTTCATCATAGGATGCAACAGCATATGTACAACATCCAAGAAAAAATTTATGATGATTATTAATAGAGATATTTTTATGTGTATCATTTATTGATTTAACATCATATAAATAATTTTTTGCATAACTATGTGTAAGACATTCACAAATTTCATCATTTAATAGTCGCGGTGGCATTTTAGTAAGTTCTTTAGAACATAAACGATAGGCATATGATCGAGCATCTATCATTCGCATAATAGAAATTAATATTGTATCATTTTGATCAGTATTATTAAAATCTTCACTATGAATATATTCAACAGCTTTTGCTAATGTATCAGTCTGTGCTTTTTGAAATAAATTAACAGGAAGATCGTTAATTATTGTTTGAACATCGGTTTTTGTATCCGAATTAAAAACACAATATTCAACAAAAGATAATTGAAGACTTGAATATAAATTAAAAAATTTCGTTTCTTCATTTGTTAATGTGTCATTTGATGATATCCATTTTGTAATAATATTATTAATTTGTAAATGAGCTGGACGAGTTAATGTCTTACTGATAGTTAAGTAATCCTTTGATTTATCAAGTTTTTCTAATTCGGATAATAATGACTGAAAATAATTATTATCTGTCATATTAAATTGTAAAGATACAATCGTTTATTATCAATAACTATTCGTCCTTTTATCCATGAAAATAATCGCGGAGTGAAGACATCGAAAAAAAAACTCTATGACGATATATATATATAATGTAACTTAGAAACTGTTACTTTTTTCTTCTTCCTTTCTGTGTTCTTTTAAGTATTTATACAAGGATGAAACAAAGAAAAGAATATAAAAGTTCCTTATTTGTAAAATGTAAAAAAAAGAGTGGCAAGAAAGAAAAATTAAAAGTATCAATACTTCAAAGTATATTTTGATATCCAACAGATTTTATTAAGAAATAATATATAGCATTATTTTAATTATGTAATAGATCATCGATTGATGTCATTGTCTTATGAAATATTCTTTTACGTAAAGAAAGTTAACGATCAATTCGACTATTTTTAATTATCTATTATTTACTTTCAATAAAATTAAAATCATGAAAAGAAAGAGCTATGTTCTTTATTAATAAAAAAAAACGAGAAACAAAAAAATTTGTTTTTTATCTATGATTCCATATGTAATAGTCGTTGATGTTCAGCTGAACGACGAGCACCATTTAAATCAAATGGTGATTCACGTATAGTTCTACCAGATGATAAATTTGTATTTGGAACTAAAAAATATTTTAAATAAAAAATTTTGTAATTATTATCAGAAGATTTTTACTTTCAGTATTTGCACCAAGTTCAAATGTTGAATCATGTAATCGTGTATATTCATAATCATCATCAAAATATCGAGTAGTTCCATCAGAACTATTTTTTGACATAACGTATAAACATAAAGAAAAACTGATTACAATACAGATAACAACAATTATAAATAAAGCTGCATAAACAGGTCTTTGATGTAATCGATACCAAAGCATATTTGTCGAAATAAAACTTTTTACCTAGGAATATTGAAATTTGTATATATATATTCGAAGAATGAAAAAGAATTACTGAATCCATTAATGGAGGTCTTGTTATAATTGATTCATGACGACATACTTGTTTTAAATTAATTAATCGATACCAAGCCAATGTAGGAACTCTATTTATTTTCATTATTAAATGATATTAAATAAATTTATATAACTTACCGGCTTAAAAATGAAGCATTTTTACTACAAGAATTTTCAACATTATGAAGGATACTATCAAATATTAAACATTCAGCTGTGCAACCACCGGAACCAGCAGTAATTATATGATGACATGTCTAACGAAAAATAAAACTATTAATAGTAATAATAAATAAATATTACTTCTATTTGTGGCCAAAATGCATAAAGCATATGAAGAAGATATACAGTTTGTTTCATACATTCATTTGAATTCCAACTTTGTGGTTCTTTATAAAGAGTACATAACATTGGCAATAGTTTTATTGTTGGTGTAGTTATATTCTATATTCAATAATAAAAAAAAGAAAATTTGAAATGAAATTATTATTAACTGTATATATATATATATACTTTAGTTAATTTTGCTGGACAAGCATTTGCATATGCTGAAAGACGCTGATGACATTTTTCAAGTAAGCAAAACGAACGTCCATGTTGACGTAAAACATCCGTAGTAAAATGAATATCATGTTGTGTCATATTTTCTATGCACCATTGACCAGTCGAACAATGAGTATTTAATTTTTGTACAACTACTCGATCGATAAGTGCATCATAAAGATGTTGAAATGATTGAAATTCAATATTTGCTTCACGTATTAATGAATAAGTATGATTATCAAATGAATATGATTCACACATATCATTGAATTTCATTTTTGGATCACATTGTTTTATATGAAGAAGTATATCGATATTACGATAATGATTAAATTGATCAACAAGAGTATGAACAAGCATATATGGTGCTACAGATGGTACAGTTATTGGTATTTTTTGAGTTGTAGTAGATATTGATGATGATGATGAAGCTGATTGATTTTTAAACAAGACTGTATCCGTATGATTGTCTAATGGATTCGATGACGTATATTTAGTGGATAGAGCTACTATTATTAGAGATGAAGAAGACAACGGTTTATTAGTTAAATGTTGAATTTTTGTTGATGAACTTATTGGCAATGACTCATTGAAAACAGAAAAATCATCATCCATATAATCCTCTAAATACATAGATAAAAATAGATTTTTAAACAAGCAATCAAGAGACTTATTATTTCAAACAGAATCATCTATTTTAATATAATTGATTGTAACAATAGTATTTAGTACCTACCTAAACTACCACCAATAAGTTGTGCATGTATATAATTTATTAAAATCAACATGAAAACAGATATAATCATAATTCTATTTGTAAAAATCATAATTTTAGAACTATATATTTCAGTGTATAGATAAAAATGAAAAGAAACATGGCATTGAAAAAGAGTCTTTTAACTATTGTTTGTTATTTATGTGTAGCATATCGCGCCAGCTGTTTCAATGTATAGAGAATAAGTGAAGACGATATTGTAATCGTCGTTTCTTCTTCGTCATTTGATGATTTAAGTTATACATTAAACATATTTCTATGCACTCTTCTATCATCGACAAAATGCGTATGTTTCAAGAGTGAAACATATCCTTTTCTTTTGTATTTTTATATCTTCAAAAAAAAGTACCGCATTATTCACTCGTGTCATTTACACCGTTAGAAAAACCAAAGAAACAATTAAATAAAAGATGCACTTGACTTTAAACTGAATTTTGATCTTTCAATAATATGAATATTATGTAAGGTGTGAATGAATAGAGAGAACAAGAAGAAGCAAAAAAAAGGAAATGAACGACACTTCTTATATTCAATTATAAAAACATGAAGCAGCAGAAGGCAAAATAATAATAAAAATTTATAATAAGTTCATTTCAAGAACAACAACAACAATAATAATAATAGAGCATCATATACACGATAGGTCATTATTTATGCTAAGTGAATTTTACTAGATAGACATTCATTGTCACATTTACATGCAGATGTTTTTTTCCAGGTGCCTCATGCTACGAATCATCAAGACAACGTGCTGATAATGGTGTGTGATTTTTTTTTAATTCACTCAAAAAAAAAGAGAAAGAAATTGTATACAACAGAACAATAGGTATTTTTTTTCTTATTTAGTTTCAATAGGGTAATGAGGGAGAAATGGCAGTAGATGCTGTGCTTGTTGATGATAGTCCTCCTGTTCCAGTTGTGATTGATGATGATGTTGTACTTGCTGTTGGACTAACCCAATATGATGTTGATAAATATGGATTAGGTGTAGTAAAATTAGCTGCATAGTCATATGTAGTTGGATGATTCCAATAATTTGTATAAGCTGTTGTAGCTGCTGCTGCTGGATGATGATGATGAGAATGATGAGGCATATGAACAGTCGATGATGTTGCTGCTGCTGAACTTAATGCACTCCATTTAAAATAAGCTGCATGAGCATGTGATGAACGCATCATTTCTTGTTGATATTTTGCATAAGGTGATTCAGGTAATTGTGGTTGATTTAATTGATGTAAACCATTGAAATCAAATTTATATGCATAACGTTTACCATGAACTTTTGTCATGATATTTTTATCATAATAATAACGTAATGCACGTGATAATTTATCATAATTCATATTTGGTTTAGATTTTCGTTCACCCCAACGACGTGCAACTTCATCTGGATCAATTAATTTAAATTCACCATTCGAACCTTCCCATGCAATAATATTTGCATTTGCACTAGCATCAGCTAAAAGTTCAAGTAAAAATTGCCATAACTGTATTTGACCTGTGCCTAAATACAAAAGAAAAACATTTAATATAAAATATTATTCTAAATATGAATAATAATTACCAGAAGCTCCTCCACCAAATCGATGAGAATTATGAGGAAAAAATGATTGACTTGTAAAAGTTGCATAAGGATCTAAATTAAATGAAGAGAGGAAAAAAAATTTAAAATCTTATTTCATAAATGAATTTTAATATTACCTCTTAATTCATGTGGTGATTCAGATTTAACCAATGATGACCATGGTGATGATTGTTGTTGTTGTTGTTGCTGCTGCTGTTGCTGTTGTTGTTGTTGTTGTTGTTGTTGTTGCTGATGATGGTGATTGTTATTCGAGCCGGAATCATTTCCACGACCTGATCCATTATCATATCCATTTTTTATTCTTGAACTACCACCACCAGCATTGGTAGATGAAGTTGATGATGATGTAGATGAAGGCGTTGTGGTTGTGTGATAGCCAACTAAAAAAAAAATAAAAAGAACAATTAAATGAACATGATGTAGTACTCTAACAATCAATCCTCTGATTGTCAAGCGATTTGATTTAGGGAAAAAAGAAGATTATATTATTCGATTATTGTTGACTTTACTCAATACAGTTAGTCAAAGGAAACACAAACGATTTCTAATTAAGAGCTAGAAAAAAAAAGAGCGGCATTCTTAGTCTTTCTTCTCCCACCCGCTGCTTCATTTTGATGACATACAAAACTAAAATAAAATGAGCAGAAGCGAATAGTCAATTATACTATAGTAAAAACAAGTGTCTTCTAGATATCCATGAACAGATGACATTTGATCATAAATAAAATCATGAACCACTTTTTTTTTATTGGATGACTTTTTCTTCTTCTTCAAATTCTGTAATATTTGATGAATTAATAAATTTTAAGTTGAATAAATATCGAAGTGTTATTATAATATATAGGTTAGAAAAAAAAAAGAAATCTCAGAGATGGATGTGTCAATTTTATCGACAGCTTGTTTTGCTTATTTTTTTCACTTATAAATAGATTCGGTAGCAAGTAAGCACTTACATGTGAGCAAGAGAAAGTTTGCTATGTTTCACTTCTATCTATCTAATTATTTGCGCAAATCTTTCAAGAGCTCGCCTAATCTTATATCGACACTTGAACTAAGCTAAAGAGTAAAGATAAATAAACTTTTAATTTTTTTTTCAAAAAATGTTATCCTTTTTTTCATCATGTTTATAATAAAGAATTAACTTACTGCCATTAGAAACATTCGATGTTGTACCGCCAATACCTATAGGTGTCCATGCATGTTTTGATGGTTCTAAATAAAATATATATATATATATATAATAGAATGATACTTAAAATGTTCTTAGATCAAACATCAAAATGAATATAAATATATATTTTCTATACCATTTTTATAGTCTCAATTTCTCTGTTATATATTTCTATCTTTTTTCCTTCTCTTCACTTCTCGTTTTCGTTTTCCTTTATAAACGGATGTGCTCAACTTGTTGTACCATCGTTTCCTTCTTCTTTCTCAAATGTGACTCGAAAAATATCTATCAACGATATTAGTTATAATAACTAGAGCGAAGCGAATAGTAGTGGCAATGCTATCGTTGTCGTTTCCTTCTTCTTTTTTCAAAACGGAAAACTTCGATTCCTGTTCGTGTGCTCAAACGCATGGGTCGGGTTGAAGGCAGACGGAAATCTTGGCTTCCTTACGCAAAGCGAGTCGCTTACCAGTGAGCATGATGTGTCGATGTTGTTATATGTATGTGTATATGTGGTTGTGGGACGGACGAGAAGAGAGGACGCCTTTAAGTCCCGGACTTCCTTGAAATCGTGTCGACGACCGACAGAGAAAAGAACTTTTACGGAAATGCAATGCCCGATTAAGAGAGATTGAATCTCCGTTGTCGTCGCCGCTATATTTCTTCGTGTAGGTTGTCGACAATGTAGAAGTAGCAATGACGAATGAGGAGCAGAAGGAAGCAGGAACTGAGGCCTTTCCGTCTCTCTTTTTCTCTCTCTCCCTCTTCTTCTTCTTCTTCTTCTCGTTCTCTCTTTCTCGTTTTCTAATATAAAAAAAATCGTGACATACATGTGTGTGTTTCTGCATGCCTGCACGTCCAATGGAATTTTTTAGCCAATGATAATAATTCTACTTCATTGAGATGAGCCTATCTACGTGTTCGTGTGCGGGTGGAATGTCTGCTCGTTCTCTTTCTTATTGAGCACTAGTGTAATATAGAAAGAAAAAAGAACGATTGGATGAATGTGTAACATTTGCTTGAAC